TCATTTGCCTCAGGCACAGGAAGCTGTCCCATGGGATTCTGAAGACTGGGCAGAAACTTTTAGTCTTAAAAATGCAGATGGGATTCTCAAAAGTGTTTAGCTGTGGCTTCCTTTTGCTCCCATTGAAAAGAATGGGAGTTTTCGCATTGGGCAGTTGGCCAACATTGCAGACTATTGAGAATTCCACCCGACAAATATACACTACTGCAGTCTTCTAAAAGGAAACCCTTCTTATTTTTCTCTTCATGGAACAACTTAATTAGGCATTTACTTCCACTGACATCAATGGTGCAGGATCGAAAAGAGAGCGAGACTTGGCATAACCATATTTTCCATTTTCACATTGCATTTTATTGACACAACGTGGGTGTCTTTCATATGATTCTACTCTAGAACTTCACTAACACCAATGACACCAGCATAAATAGGTTCTCTTTTTGTATCAGGAATATTGGGCATGGCATAAATCTTCATTTCTTAAACACAGATGTCTCCTCAGAAATAACCTCCAGTATGAAAACTAGAGTCCTATTTTAGGACTATGGGGCCCACTTAACATAGTATCTGAGTGTTTCACAATCTTCACCTCACAATATCCCTGTCCACTAGTTATTATCCCAATTTGACAGAGGGGGGAACTGAAGCACAGAGAGACTAAATGATTTGCTCAAAGGAAATCTGTGGCCGAGCAGGGAATTGAACCTGGGCCTTCTAAGGTGCAGGCTCTAACCACGGGATGAGCCTTCCTCGTTTCAGCATAGATTTACCCATTCAGCGTAGCTTTTTAAAGATAAGTATTTCTTTAGAGCTAAGACTGTGCTCAGCCTTGTAGAAGGCTAAAAACAAAACAAGTCCTTGTCCTGAAGATTTTACAGCTTAAACATTTCATTATATGAGAATTTTCAAAGGAGCTGTAGTTTTTTAAATGAGATCCAAGGTGGCAACATCCAGGGATTCTGTACCTTGTCTGTATATCGTAGTTTAGAACAAATATCCATTTGTCTCTGTTTTCAAAAATACTATTAAAGCATCTGTATGTTTTACAACGATTCACTAGGCATTAGTGTTTTTACACGCTAAATGTTTTATGCTGCACAAAGCAAATGTTAAACCCATGCATGTATTAAGCATGTACATGGAATATGTACTGGGTGGCATAGAGGTTTTTATCAGCAAGTTTGGAGTAGGCACGTGACTCACAAGTGGTAATGTCATGAATAAGCAATGCAGGTTATCCCAAAAGTGTGCCAATAAAATGTAATAACACTTCATCATGCATTCTGTATATGCATGATATGTTACAGAAAAAATATTTTAGGATTTTTTAAAAATTAGGACTATTTTTCATATTCCTCTGCTTATAAATCAAGGTGCCTTAATAGCCCTAAGTCTAATAGCACTGATCCTGGGGGCAGGGGAGGAGGGACAGGGAAATTGCTTTTTCTGAACATTAAAATATTACAATGTTAAATTCTGATAATATCAGAGCTAATGTAACCCTTCTGCCAGGTGAAGCCAGTAGCAGATAGGACTGGGTTCAATATCTTGGGGTTCCTTTCAATTGATACAACACAGAACCGGCTTGAGCCCCCACCCAGTAAGCTGAGAAAATTACACACCACTCCTGAGCACCTCTGAGAGGCAATACTTCCCCACTCGCCAGCACAGAGTCTGAGTGTAGAAAAGAAACTTTTAATAAAAGGAGGGAAGTAACTTGGCATAAAACACCACAAACAGGGTTCATAAACATAAACTATGAGCAAAAGACCCAACTTACTTGGGGGTTGACAGTGTCGTTTTCCCCTCAGGTTCTTAAGTCCAGCAACCCAAAAGTCCCTTTAGCGTGCCCGACCCTTCTCTGCACCCCAGTCATAGTTGCTGTCCTTGTTCAGTGTATATTCAGAGTTCAAAGGTGCATGTGCAGAGATCACCTCCCACCCTGGATCAAGGTAAGGAGGCACCTTACTTGCTCCGCTGCTCGGGCACTCGTCCGCTGCCCCTCTCTGCCAGCCACCCTGCTGGCTACCTGCTGAGCCTCTCCATCAGCTGCCCTGCTGGCCACTCGTTCACCAGCCAATTGTCAGTCACCTTCTGCTGCCGCCCACCTCTCTGCTGTGACCTCTGCACATCAGTCTCTTAGTAATTTTCAGCTCTTTGCAGGCTGGGCAGAGACACTGCCCCATCTCAAGTGATTTCAGCTCTCAGTGATCAAGCTTTAAAATAACAAAAGAGGCTCCTAATGAAGCCTATTTAGCTCTTCTTTGAGGAGGAACAGGTCAAACCAATCCAGGGACTCCTAGGGAGAGTCCAAACATCTCCTGGCTAGAACATCTGTTCCCCCCCCCCTTACTTTCACAGGGCTCTGGCATTCAAGCCCCTGGCTTAACGAGGTCCTTTCAGCTGAAGGTGACCTCCCTCATTTGGGACAGGTTAAGCACAGTCCTGCTTTCCTCTGTTCCTACAATAATTACAACATTTTGGTAACAGCATTTCACTACCCCTGCATTCAGCACTAAAGTGATTTGTACCCAACACCAGCCAAAATTGATCACTTTGACACCACTCTATCTGCTGAATATCTAAGCAAAGAAAGAGCAAACTGTATTTACATAAACACACCCAACATTTCTCCCCTTCCCGACTAGCTGTCAGGAAAGCATTCATTCAGACCCTGCTTACACTAGCATGGCTAGAAGTTAGTGCTGAATCTCATGGGGAATCTGAGATTGTTCCTTTTTGTAACAGTAAAGGGCGTAGGCTATCCGAATGTAAAGGTGTGGCATTTTTATGTATAAACAAAAGCAGTCAATGTCTCGGGACTTAGTTTTGCCTTTATTGGACCTTGAGGCAGAGTGGATTTGCAAGGGAGACATTTATGTGGCAGTTTGTTTATTCAATGGCAGGTATCCAAAGTCACTTGAGAGGTTAGATGATCAGTCCTGGAGTAGATAGATTAATGGCAAAACACAAGTGAAGCCAGCAAAGAGTGTTATAATAAATTCATTTCCCACTGGATAACACCATCATGTATGTGGAGTGTCTGTATATGGAGGACGAGTGGGAAGAGAGAGGGGGGAAATTGTATGTACACCCTCCTGCCTGTGTTTTCAGAGCTGCAGTATAAAGTGAGCTGGTTTAAGAATTGCTAAAGTTTTTATAGCTCATACATTCTATTGGACTCTATGAAATCTGGTAGGTTAAACCGAAAATATTCGTGTAAGTGCTAAAAAAGACCTGACTAGCACATTTAGCACAATGGCACCCCCTCTTGCCAGCCATGAATTATACTGAGGCTGCTCTGAGAGAAGAATGCAGCTTCAAGAAGCATCTGTGCATCTGTCCAAGTGCATTGTCATGTTCTCCTCACTCTCGCTGCTCTCTTTCCAATAGTGGTTTTGTCCCAATTTTTTGTTTATTTGCCGTTTCCCCTCCCCAACGTTAGCGAACCTGTTTTGCTGTATTAAGGATTGGATGCCTATACTGGCTGGAGAAGATGAGTTGCAGTTTCAGAAACCAAGTGGAGAGGGCAGGCGAGACCACGCACATCTAGACAATGCTCCTCTCTTAGTCCCATCTTGTCATTCCCAAAGGAATACCACTAGTTAGAACTACCACTGGGTCCAATCCTGCATGATGCGGATCATCTCCAGGGAGGTGTCATGCACTCTTCATTTTTGCAAAACAGAGGGCCATCAGCCCGTCTCAGGGGGTAATTGGCTCCTTACAGGACTGGGACGAATTCTGCTCACATACCACGAATTTATTTTTTGTTATTAACAAGAGCTTGATTCATGAAATAAAATATACAACAAATCTGATTTTGATTCAGATTCTCTATGTGTCAATTAGTGTTCACACTAAAATACTGACCCCCTCTGAATCATCTGTATCACATAAACCCCCGCTGGAGTATTGCAAGTTTTAATTATAATTATCTTCATTTATATCCCTGTATTTATAATTAAAACTGCTCAGTAATGTCGCCTAACTTAAGAGCTGGTGCACAATTACCTCTACTTGTCAGGATGGCCAAATAATGCTTTCTTCTTATTTGTAAGGAAATTGGAAATTCTGAGGATTTCCTCAACTTTTTCTGTGCTTAACATAAGGCCTTGGTGATAAGGATGACAAGGGAATATTTCAATAATGTTAATATTAAGGAATTAATTTACCTCTACAGCACATAGGAAACTAGACACACTTCTCATTAATGTTAATGAGGATGGTTTATGGTTGTCCCCATTTGCAGTCTGGAAAATATATCCCATGTATACCTACAGTATGACCTGGCCAAATAAATCTGAGAATGAAAAAATGGCTTTCATGCAGACTTTTTGCTTCCTTTGAATTTTTGTATTATCTAAACAAAAACAAACAAAATTAATAGATTCCAAGGCCAGAAGGGACCATTGTGATCATCTAGTGCAGGGTTCTCAAACTGTGAGTCGGGACTCAAAGTGGGTCATGATGCCATTTTAATAGGGTCGCCAGGGCTGGTGTTAGACATGCTGGGGCCTGGGACTAAAGCCCAATGGCTTCAGCTCTGAGTGGCTGGGCTCAGGTTATAGGCCCCACCCCTTGTAGGGCTGGACCCCTTGGGCTTTGGAGACACCCACCCACCTAGGGCAATGGAGCTCAGGCTTTGGCCTTCCCCACCAGGACAGTGGGACTCAGATTTTGGTGGTCTCAGGCTTTGGTCCCTCTTCCTGGGGTCATGTAGTAATTTTAGTTGTCAAAAGGGTGTCACGATGCAATGAAGATTGAGAACCCCTGATCTAGTGTGACATCCTGTATAACACGGGCCCTGGAACTTTCCCAAAGTAATTCCTGTTTGAACCAGAGCATAGCTTTGAGAAAGATATCCCAGCTTGATTTAAAGATTACCAGTAAGGACAATCCACCATGACCCTTGGTAAATTGTTCCAATGGTTAATTACTCTCTGTGTTAAAAACGTATGCCTTATTTCCAGGATAAAGTCGTCTAGCTTCAGCTTCCAACCATTGGTTTAAGTTTTACTGCTGAAGAGCCCATTATCAAGTTTTTGTTGCCCATGTAAGTATGTACAGATTACAATTAAGTCACCCCTTTACCTTCTCTTTTGTTAAGATAAATAGACTCAAGGAGCTCAATCTATCACTATATGGCATATTTTCTAGCCTTTCATCATTCTCATTACTCGTCTCCAAACCCTCTTATCAGCATCCTTCTTGAATTGTGGGCACCAGAACTGGCCACAATATTTCAACAGTGGTCACATCAGTGCTGAATATGGTAAAATAACCCCTCTACTTCTACTCAAGGTTGCCCTGTTTATGTATCCAAGAACTGAATTAGCCATTTTGGCCAGTGTCGCACTGGGAATTCATGTTCAGATTATCCACTATCACCCCAAATCTTTTTCAGAGTCACTGCTTCCCAGGATAGAGTCCCCCATCATGTAAGCATGGCCTACATTCTTTGTTCCTAGATGTATATACAGTAAAAGCTTTGTTATCCAGCATATTGGAGGAATAGGGGGGTGTCAGCAAGTCAAAAAATTCCGGTTAAGAGGGAGGGAGTTTGGGTGTGGGAGGGGGCCCAGAGCAGAGGTTTAGGGTGCAGAAGGGAGTCCAGGGTGCTGGATATGGACAGTGCTCACCTTGGGCAGTTCCCCGGAAGCAGTGACATGTCCCTGCTGCTCCTCTGCCCACAGGTGCTGCCCCCGCAGCTCCCATTGGCCATGGTTCCTGGCCAATGGGAGCTGTGGAGGCAGCTCCCGGGGCGGGGGCAGCGCACAGAGCCACCATGGATGCTCTTAGCATTATTTGGCGGAGTCTAGAGTTGTGCTGAGAATGGAAATTCTGTTTGGCAGAGGATTGTGAAATTAGCTTTCATTTCAGTTCGGAGTGAAACTTGAAAACTTCAAAATTCACTGTGTGAAAGAAATTTAAAAAAAAATAATTCGGGGTCAGTCAAAACATCTCTTTTTTATATTGACCATTTTATTTTATGTATTATAATATAATTCAAAATTTAAAAACATTCTAAACAAAAAGTCACCTCCAAAGGGAAAAATCAAAGTGTTTCAGGAATAAAATGAGACTTTTTTGATGTTGCTGGAGCTTCTTCCCTTTTCCCTTACAGAATGAAATTGCAGCCAAAGATACCTGCTATATTATGACAGAATATGGTTCCATCAACATTTTCCCCAAGCAGGTGTAGCTTTGGGACCTACTTCTCATGTGCTGTGATGGATGTGATCAAGCCAGTTCATGTGCTGAGAAGGTCTTTCTAACATCTGTGGGGTCAATTTTGCATCAGAGCCAGAAGGGAATTGCTGTCATTTCCAGTACAGGGCAGGAAGGAAAAAGTCAGCACAGGTAACTATGACCTGACATTCTCATAAAAACAAAAACAAAAACACAACACTAGCGAAATATAGTCTAGATGAAATTACTATAAAGTGCGTGCTAAAACTGCTTGAAAGATCATATTCGAAGAGTAGTTGTGAACGGTTCATTGTCCTACTGGAAGGACATATCTAGTGGGATCCCCCAGGGATCTGTCCAGATTCCAGTACGATACAATAGTTTCATTAATGACTTGAATAGTGGAGTGCAAAGTATGGTTACAAAATTTGTGAATGATATCAAACTGGGAGGGACTGCAAGCAATTTGGAGGACAATATTAGAATTCAAAATCACCTTAACAAACAGGAGAATTGGTCTGAAATCAACAAGATGAAATTCAGTATAGACATGTGCAAAGTACTACACTTAAAAAGAAAAACAAAAAAAGCATAAATACAATTGGCTAGGCAATAGTATTGCAGAAAAGGATCTGGGAGTTATAGTGGATCACAAATTGAATACGAGTCAATGTGATGCAGTTGCAAAAAAAGGCACAAGTGTATGTAAGACAAAGGATATAATTGTCCTGCTCTACTTAGCCCTGGCGAGGCCTCAGCTGGAGTATTGTGTCCAGTTTCGGATGTCGCACTTTGCCTGCCACACTCCACAAATTGGAGAGTCTAGAAGAGAACAATTTAAATGATAAAAGCTTTAGAAAACTCGACCTAAGAGGGAAGGTTAAAAACACTGGGCATGTTTAGTCTTGAGAATGAAGACTAAAGGTGGGGGGACTTGACAATCTTCAAATACGTTGCAGGCTGTTATAAAGAGGGTAGTGATCAAGTGTTCTCCATGTCCACTGAAGGTGGAAAGCTTTTCCTAATATCTAACCTAACTAGAAGTATCAAAAGCACTGGAATAGGCTGCCAAGATATTCCTTGTCATTAGACAGGTTTCAGAGTAGCAGCCGTGTTAGTCTGTATCCGCATCTGAAGAAGTGGGCTGTAGTCCACGAAAGCTTATGCTCTAATAAATTTGTTAGTCTATAAAGTGCCACAAGTACTCCTGTTCTTGTCATTAGAGGGTTTTAAGAACAGGTGAGACAAACATGTGTCAGGGATGGTCTAGGTTTACTTGGTCCTGCCTCAGTGCAGGGGGCTGGACTAGATGACCTCTTGAGGTCCCTTCCAGCCCTACATTTCTGTGATTCTATTGCTCTATGTATGTGAGAAAAGGAGCTGTGTCAGGCAATGTTTTTTGGAGCCAGGAGTAGAGAGGCATGCAGCTGTGTGTGTGTGTGTGTGTGTGTGTGTGCGCGCGCACGCGCATGTGGGGGAGGTCTCCAAAGCATAGTGGGAAGAAAAGTACTAAGGCAAGGTTGAAGTGTCCTGAGATAATGCTGTGTCAGAGGAGAGGTTCATAATGCAGAAGGCAAGTGGGACTTTTCTATCATCTAAGCCAGCTCCATGCCAATGGCTCCCTACTGTAGACATACATGTAGTGCTTTGTTCAGGCTAGTTTTAAATGCCTAAGTGATGGAGCTCCTGCCATTTCTCTTGGGTCGCTACTCCAAAGCGTGATCAAGGAGGGTGATAGCAAAAAGGCAGCAGGATGGGAGGGAGGGGAAAAAAGTTAGTGCATGAGAGTTTTCTGCATGAGGAAGGAGGCAGTGGGAGGGAGCAGAGGTGGTGGCGGAGGGAGATTCAGCATGGGGAAGCTGGTTCTGGAGTGAGGAGGCATTGGGAGGGTAGAGGCAGCAGAGTGTCTGTACTTGGTGAGATGGGAGCAGGTGGAGTGGTTCTGCTCTGGGAGAGAGGCAATGAAGGAGGGAACAGATAGAATGGGTTCTGCCCTAAGTGGAAGGGCACAGATGGGTGTGTGCATGAGCATGCCTCTGATAAAGTCTCTTGTCAACAGTGGTTACTCAACTCTACCCCTCGCTGCTATATAGTTGTACACTATTGACTTGAAATGAAGCTATGCCAATTGATACCAGCTGTGGGTCTCACCTACAGTCTGATCTGTCACTGCACAGTTAGTATCAGGGAAGGGAGAATGTCTTGCCTAGCTTTAAAGCACTGTGCTGAAACAGGAGCTGACACACATGAAACAGTAAAACTACTTACTTCCTACTGAGGTTAGAGGGGAAATAAGGGCTCCTAGCACCTCCCAGGATCAGGGTATTATGTGCTATGCATAATCAGATCAGAACAGGCATTGCAATGCTGTTGCCACTTAAAAACACAGGTCCATGGAGCAACTCCTATTTCCCCACAAGCTCACAAATATTTTGTTTAACAACAGAAATTCCCGGTGAGTGACAACCATGTTGGCAGGTCACAGGACCTGCTGTTGGGTTATATCATTGTTATGAAATTCATGCTGCTAAGGAACTTTGAGTTGCACTCCATACTGGGAATAGGCCAAATAATCTGTGACTCAAAACGTCTCTCCTCATGGATCACTGAGAACACAAGAGATTTGAGTTGCCCTGGTGGGCTAAACACAGACATGTCAAGATCTCACTAGCACCAAAATATTTGTTTTAACTATCTTGGGAGAGGAATAAGGGCCAATGAGCAACATCTACTGGGTGGACACATTGTTTCCCAGATGTTTCATTTCCTAATTTTATTATTAATTAAATGCAAATATGCACTGGAATTGAAAATAATGGGTATGAAGAACAGTGGGCCAGATTCTGATCTCAGTTACACCTGTGTAAATCCAGAGTAACTCCAGTGAAACCAGTTAAATTACTCCAGATTTGCACGGGTGCAACTGAGAGCAGAGTCTGGCCCATAATCTTGAGAGATGTTTGTCCAAACACAGCACAAACAGATACTTTTGGCTTAAATGACTCCTATTATGAGAACGAATCAGGAAAGAACAAAAGGACAATCTCCTCGCTCACAGTCTGCACTGAGGTGAAAGTACAGCACATGTCATTAAATGTTTAGCATTCACTGCCAAAGATATCTTAATTAACTTGGTCCATACCTCTCCATCTCCCAAGGCCCAAATGTGGGACAAAGATATTTTATTACTACAGGAATCACAATACTGTATGGATTGATTCCTTTAGGATAAGTTACTATTTTAGTAACTGCAGTCTCATGCTTGTTTATTTCTGATGGAAATTATTATCAACAGTAAAACTGAGGGGGACACACCAAATTTGGGTGGAATGTAGGTAATGTTGGGACTAAAATGAATGTGCCCCCTTGAAATAAGGGGTATTTGAGAAATAGGATAATGGAACTGTCTTATGCAAAGACCAGGAGATAACACAAGGCTACAATAGCTAAGTAAGCAATGTTTAGTTTTTCATGCAACCCCCTGTTGTAATCCTATTCTATAGAAGAAACAGGATTAGAAACAATGAGACACAGAGCTCTAATAATAAATGTTTTTCCCTTCAGAGTTGCTGTTAATTCAGTGAAGAAACACTGCTGGAATACACAAAATGGACAGGGCATAGAATCTGGTTGCAGAGGGCATACGGTTATTTGAGTGGAAGGTACTGGACATGAGAGAGACTTAAGGCTCCATTTGTTATTCTTTTTAAATCGTTATGCCTAAATTAAGCAAATCCACTTTGTGTACACATTGTTACTTCTGGGGGAATTCTGTGTACAAAATTTTAAAGTTCTGCAACATTCTGCATATTTTATTTTTCAAAATAACACAATAAAGTCATGCTGGTTTCAATTATTTGGGTAATTTATTTCAAAATACCTGTCAGCAAGTATGTCTGTAACAATAATAAAAAAGATTCAATGTTTTTGACAAATAGATTCCTTACTTGGCATATTAATACAAAACTTTGAGTAATAATTCATTTAAACTACAATATAGAAATGCATTTTCCGCACCCTCAGCAGCAGTCCAAAGGCTTGGGGGAAATCAGGGGTAACGGAGGAGCTGAGACAGAGGGAAGTAACTGCTGGGAAGGAGCCTGGGAGTGAACCTGAAGCGTTGTTGCGTGTGGGTGGGATAGGTATAGAACAAGTTTTTTTTGGGGGGGTGGGAGGGAGAGATTGTTAGGGAGTTGGGGAGCCTACCACATGCAGACCTGGCTGACCCCTAGCCTCTTTCATTCAGTCAGGCACATCTGCCTCATCCCCATGTGTCCCTGCACCCACTCCCCTGTGCCCATGTGGTCCTGCACCCCCACTCCCATTCAGTCCCTGCCCCAGTCTCTTCCCCCCCACTAGCCTTTCTGAACCCCAGTCTATGTGACCCCCCAGAAGCCCTGTGTGCCCTGCTGTGTCCCCCCCATGTCCCATGCCTCCTCACGGGGCCCCAGGAGCATGTTGCTGTGAGGAATGCAGCATCTCTTCCTCCCTAGCGGCTGCTGGCTGTTCTGTTCTGCCACCAAAGCTGTCCCTGGTGGGAAAAAGGCATAACTGCAGCGTCACACCAGCAGAATGTATTTTCTGCAGAGAAAAAAAATCTGTGGCGGACATGAATTCTGTGCATGCGCAGTGGTGCAGAATTCCCCCAGGAGTAACACATATACACATAAATAGAGTATATTTCACTGCAAAGTTTCAGTTCCGTTTTTTGGAGGGGGGTGAAAATAAAACAGATAGAGATGGGCTCAAACCAAAACCTCAGCTTCAAGAGTCCTAATCCAGATGTGAACTCCAGGGCTGGCCCCCTCTCTTTAATGCATTGAACTGAATGCCTGGAGCAGCACACCTCTGAACTTTGCAGGATATTTGCAGCCTGGAGTTAAACTGTAGCTCAGACCATCTCTTAATTTTCTATTCATCAAAGAAGGCAGAGTTGAAATCAAGTATAGTCAGGAATAAACCACAAACTTCCTAGAGTATGATTTCTAATGCAACTGGCAGATTTTATGTTCTCCTTTAAGGTGTGTGATGTGGCTAAGTGGTGGACTACATCCTCTAGATTTGTCAATCCAGTTTATTCTGGGAACACGAATTCCACTTGAAAAGTTAAACACAATTTAGAGGGGAGTTGAACATTTCAGAGGAAGGTTAAATGCCTCTGAATGGGCAAGGTATGACTGGCTTGTCAATGTGGGCTTTGGTTGAATACGTGGGTGGTCCTTTGCTGAGAGAGGGACTTGTGCCCACAGTTTAGGACTGAGCACTAGGGTTCTAATCCTGGCTCTGCTTCAGCTGTGTGACACTAGCAAGTCACTTAATTTCCCTATTTGCAAAGCTTATTCTCACCTATCTTATGGGGTAAGGTTAAACCCATTTATATTGGAAAGAGGCTTGGATGGAAGGGAAACAGAAGGGTAAAGTGTCACTTGGTTCAACACAGATATGAGTCAGTTTGCTTATCTCTGTGATGTTTAACCAAAGTTGCCAGGCAATCAAAATATGTCTCCTCTACATTGTGCTCTCCACTTTCCCTGCTGGAGAACATACTTTTTCCACTTTAACCAGACCAGACACAGCCCATATTTTCTTAACTCCTAAAATAAATCACCACCCTAAGTAACAGATGCTCCAATGCACGTAGAGATGAATACACGATGGAGACAACAGTCATTACACTCATAACCATGTTTCACCTGTCTAAGTGGAGACCACCTATAGCTTGTTAGCAGTATACGGAGCCATCAGTTTGGCCAAAGTTGACATGGTTGGACTTCATGACTTCTCAAGGTCTCTTCCAGCGTTATATAACATAGAATCTTATAAAAATTGACAAGTAATAAACTCTGACCAGATGCAAAGGATACTCAAGCAGCACATAAAGAATCTTTACATGTGGACACTGTTAGAACAACATACGGTGTCTAGTTCATTCACAATGTTAAGTTATCCCAAAGTGGAGCTGGTCAAATAACCGATTCACAAATATTTTTGTCCCTGATTTAGGAAATCACCTAATTAAATGCTTAATTCCATCCTGTTTCCAGGACTGCACAAGTATGTGTTTGAGTTCTGTCCTGAATCAGGGCCTTTATAAATACAACTGCTGCATTCAGTTCACTATTATTTTGAGGGGCCGTGTTGTGATTATTCAGACATGCCATGTTTGTGAAACTCTCTCAGATTATAGCACTAATTTTGTCCAAAAATATGTACCAGAAGGGTTTTTTTTTAAAATGCTTGCATCCATTAAGCCTCTAGTTTTAAAAGTTTTGTTCATCCAGAGAGAGAACAAAAGCAACACTGTGTGAGTTGACCAATCAATTACTACAAAGAAAGGATAGCTGAAAATGATTTGTCCAAATTATTTGATGAATACATATGAATAAACTCTTCGGTAGAACAATTCCTTTGAATAAAGTTCCCAAGTGAGTAACAACATCAGGATCAAGTGCCTAGTTTCTCTCTTTCTGCATAGCAATGATACTGCCATAATAATGTAAACTGATAGAAAGTTTTCTCCAGCCAAACACAATAAATAGCAAAGATGGGAACACAGCCTTCTTCCACCCAATTCACTTCCACTGAGGAATGCACTTTGAAAATGAATTGGGACATAATGCTAGCAAATGTCTAAACCACAGCTAATTAGATAGACAAGGTAGGTGAGATAATATCTTTTATGGGACCAACTTCTGTTGGTGAGACAAGCACAGCTATGACAACACTGCAGATAACCACAGGTAAGTCCCTTTTTTCTCTTTTTAAAAAGCAATCAAATTAAATGCATGATGACTACGTTAATTCAACTTTTTCTGGATGAGAGTAATTAAATGCAAATTACACATGTTACTATAATGGTGCGATTTTGCAGGTATATTCACAAAATAAATAAATGGTCAGAAAATGCTAAAGTTCAGGTTCTAACAGGACCATTAAGTAGGCCCTATTGCACATGGGTATCTTCCATGCCCGTTTTTCTGGATAAAGTGTAGTACTATTTCTACCATACACCATGTTCCATCATCGGTGTGATGTGCAAGACAGCCAAGTTAGCACTGCTATTGGATTCATAACTTTGGTATTTATTGCCTTTTTCCGATTTCAGCTGCATAACCTTAGGAGTGCATGCATATACATTTGGGCATTTGACAAAAAAATTGTTCAGGGACTACACATTGTCATAGAGTAATTGAGACAATTATACAGTTAATTACCATCAACAGTCAGTAGCCAAAGCCTTTGCCATGTGTCAAGAAACCTTAATATAAGGAGGCTTCACATACTTTGTGGTAGCCTGCAGAGGCCCTCAGGGGGTGGCTTCAGGTAAAGTTTGCCATTACTAGCAGACACCCCCCCCTTGTGCTAGCTCTCAATCAGGGCCGGCTCTACCATTTTTGCCGCACCAAGAAAAAAAATAAAAAAATAAAAGCCGCCCCAAGAATGGACGGAATGCCGCTCCTTAGCATGTGCCGCCCCAGGCACGTGTTTCCTCCTCTGGTGCCTGGAGCCGGCCCTGCTCTCAATAGCCTGCTCTCCTGCCCAATGGTACGGCATCAGTTCTGCTGCCTTTTGGACCCCAGGAGCCCTTGGACAGGGGAAAGGGTGGCTCTGAGACTAGCTCCCCAGTTTACCACAGAGGTACATTACTTCCAAGGGTTGTTACCTGAGCCAGTCGTGGGAGCTCATGCAAGGAAAATACTTAACACATTTCCACTGAACTGTATGTCCGCGCAACATAAGTAATAGCAAAAAATGTTTCCCAAGCCATTTCCTTAACTTTCGAGATACCTTGCATGTAAAACTTTGAACTTCAGTTGCAACCTCTCCAGTTTCCCTTGATCATGCAGTATTTAATTTGGATGACATCTTTTTATAGTATTTATTATTGTTTTGGCCCCATTCCGAAACTCTTGTGTTAATGCCACAAGAACATCAGTCTCCTGCATAACATTTCAGTCTTGGAAAACACCTGGACCCCTCCACCCCCGCCACCACCCAACCCCTTTCTGTCTCCATTTAAACTGCCTTATGATAATACTTGTAAAAAGATCTGATCAGCAGTTTTTCAGCCCATTCCTATTTAATATGAAAGAAATTAGTGGAAAACCTAAAGCCTGGAAGGAAATTTTCACTACTGTACAAAACAAGACATGAAACCTTTAACATAATATTTACACATATTATGTTAACCTTGCAGAAAGTATTTAAGATTTAGCACTGTTGCTTTTAGAGTCTCAAGACAGAGTTTTTCTGGGATTTATTTACACTTAATAAATCTGACCTTGAGGGAAAACTAGGCCTCTACTCTGGTTTTTGTTCCCTTTATATACTCATGTTTACAGACCAACTATGAATTTTTTTAATGTGTTTATAAACATCTTTAGACTTTTCAATACACATCAGATGCGATTCACACTCCAATGTACAGTATTCTCCCCTCCCCCAGCCTTCAAGGTTGTTACACATTATATCAGTGGTGGCCCAGGATAGCATCTCTGAAGTTAAGAAAGCATCTCAATATGCCTGGTTTATGACATGGCGTTTTGCAAGGCACGATGGGGTGTTCACCCTACACCAGAGCCCTGAAGGGATTATGGTGGCTCAGAAGGGTCCAATTAATCTGATAGGCCACAACTGTGGGAGAGCCAGGGACTGAAAAAGGCTAATTGATGGGCTTTGATACCCCAGAAGGGGAAAACTGTACAGTTACCTGGACATTGGGCTGAGTCACGAAGAGAGAGCACCCCGAGTCCTGATGAGCAAGAAGAGCTGCAGGGCGAGCAAGTGACGGAAAGGGGCACCAGACCAGACGAGAGCTGATC